AGCCTCCCACCTCCCCCACACACACTGATCCATTTCTAAATATCCTGAACTTAGAGCCTTGGGGACTATAACAAGGAAGTTGGCCAGCTATTATTTTGCTCAAAACCATATCAAATGATGAATTCAAAGTACTAATATGAAAACACTGATAAGGTCCTATTTAGTTACTTCACACAACTGTGGATGAACTTTGATGTTTACCAGAAAAACATTGCTAAACTAGCTTCCCAGTAGTATACCAAAATTCAAAGCCAGAAGAAGTGGTATTTAAAGCAACACTACCATTACTGGACGATTTTAAATCATATACAATTGGGACTCTCTAGCATGCTGCTCTTAATCAACGTCATTCTAATCTTGTGGGTATCCATTGTTCGGGGACAAGGTAAGTAGAAAACAGATCTGAATACATTTCATTAGTTTCTTTCTCAAATGTGTTCATTGGTTGTGTGCATATGTAAGTATATTTTTAATGAATTTATACATAAAAGAATTTTGAATTAGGTATCATAATATTATTTGCGAAAATATTTTCTAATATGCAAGTAAGGGGAAAATAGAATAAAATTAATTTCTCCTCTTCTTTAAGTTCCAAAGTGTCAATAGCCACCAAAGATAGACATATAAAGCGATATCAAGTGATGAAAAATCGGCTATAATAATGTTGACAAGGTAAAGTGTCATACATAGGTCATTACAAAACTTTTGAGATACAGAAAAATCAAGAAATGTAAGATTCTCCTGGAGGAAAACAACAAAGCCCTCCCAGCAATACCAATCAGCCAAGCAAGGTGAAACTTGCATGAATCAGGATGCTGTCAACTGTGTTTCTTGGGACTGAGATAATGGACCATAACATAGTCTGTCTCAAAACTTTCATAATGACCTATTTATAATTTTGCATAAATTATTTGATGCCATTGACTAGAAAAAATCATCCCTGAGAAATTTAGCCACTTTCAAAATATGTATAGAAATTAATTTTCATAAATTTGCTAACGTGATTTCAAATGTCCTTAAAATAGGGAATTCTCCTATCAATCTATTTATTATTTAACAAAGGGATATATCTTTTAATAAAGCAAAAGTAAATATTTATTTTTATATGTAAACCAGTAAATTGCCAATAAATGGCTTTTTGTGGGCTTTTCAACACATTTTGAAAATGAAAAAAGAATATGTCACTTCTTTCTTAACACTATAAACTATGTCTTGTGATATTTAAAAAACTGTCCCATCTTATCATGTTGAAGAGTTGACCATCTGGAAACAATTGTGACCAAAACTCTAACAAGGTCTAGTTTACCATTAAGCTATGTATGTAAATGGAGTTTCAATAACTGTGCTTTACTCTGATTTCCAAGAAAATATTTATTTTGTTGTTTTGTAGCTTGCAATTTTTCACACATCACTGAAGTTTTATTTGGACAGTTTCTCTTCAGAACTGACATAAGGGAAAAATACGAGTAATAAAAATGTTTTTCTTTTAGACAAAACACTCATACACACAATAATATGGATGAAACTCAAAATGATCACAGTAAGTGAAACACGGTATATTTAGGCTACAGTAATTAATAAAAATATGTCTTTTCTTTAATAATAAATTAACCTTAGCTCACTGCAAACTTTTTACTTTATAAACATTTTAGTTTTCTTAACTTTTGCTAGTGTATTCTTATTTATTTACCTTTTCTAAATTTTTTTTTTATTTCAGAGTATTATAGAGGTATTTGGATTACAAATTTGCATTTGTTCGTTTTAAGTCAAGGTTATAGGTATGCCCTTCTTCCACGATATATGCATTGCACCAGTGTGAGCATACCCTACCTCTCTTCCCCCCACTCCCCTACTAGTTTTATTCCCTTTATGTGTGCATAGATGTTAATCAACTAGCCAATTTTGTATTGAGTACATGTGGTGTTTGTTTTTCCATTCTTGTAATACTTCCCTTAGAAGACTGATCTCCAGTTCCACCCAGGTTGTCACAAAAGATACTAGATCATTTTTTTAATGCTGAGAGGTACAGATAGTAGATAATTTTTTTAATGCTAAGTAGTACTCCATGGTATACATACATCACATTTTATTAATCCATCCTCGTGCTGCCCTTGGATTGTTTCCACATCTTTCTAATTGTGAATTATGTGCTATAAATATTCAAGTGCTTGGCTGGGCATTGTAGCGGGCACCTGTGGTCCCAGCTACTTGGGAGGCTGAGGCAAGAGCATTGCTTAAGCTCTAGAGTTTGAGCTTGCTATGAGCTGTGACACCATGGCACTCTGCCAAGGGTGACATAGTGAGACTTTGTCTCAGAAAACAAAACAAAACAAACCAAAAAACAGAAAAGAAAAGAGAACATTCAAGTGCAAGTGTCTTTTTGACAAAACATCTTTTTTTCCTTTGGGTAAATACCTTATAGTGGGATCGCTGGATCAAATAATAATCCACTTTTCCTTCTTTGAGATACCTCCATACTACTTTCCATAGAGGTTGTACTAATTTGCAATCCCATTCAACAGTGAATGAATGTTTCTTTTTCTCTGTATCCATTACAGTATCTGTTGCTTTGGAACTTTTTGATAGTAGGCATTCCCATTGGAGTTATGGGTTATCTCATTGTGGTTTTGATTTGCATTTCCCTGATGATTAGAGATACGGAGGATTTTTTTCATGTGTTTTTTGGCCATTAGACTAACTTTATTCTGTTCATGTCTTTTGGCCACTTGTAATGAGGTTGTTTAATTTTTTCTTGCTTTAGTGCTAATTTGCTTTAGTTCTTTGCAGATTCTAGTTATTAGACCTTTATTGAATGTGTAGTATGCAAATATTTTTCCATTCCTTAGATTGTCTATTTACTTTATTGATTATATCTTTAACTGTGCAGAAACATTTTAATTTGATCAGGTCCCATTTGTTTATTTCTTGTTGTTGTTGCTATGATGGCAATTGAGGTCTACTTTATAAATTTTTTCTGTAGGACAATATCTGTAAACTTTTTCCAAACTTTCTTCTAGAATTCTCTTATGTACCGGTATATAGGAAGTCTCTTTTCCTTCCACTCAGTTTTGCTGTGAATCTAACTATTCCTAAAAACAAAATCTAATAATGTCTATAAATTTACAAACACAAAAAAAGTGGAGTATAAACGTATAAAGATTTTACACATATTCTAAAGTGTTTTAACATATGTTGTACCATAGAGTGCACAAATGTATGCAAAAGTGTCTACATACATATATACCATAGTCCCTTAGTAACCAACAAGGATTGGTTCCAG